GGGAGGGAGGAGGAGGAGAAAGAGGGTGATAGGGAGGAGGAGGAGGAGGAGGAGGACGAGGGCGATAGGGGGGGGAGGAGGAGGAAGAGGGCGATGGTGAGGAGGAGGAGGAAGACGAAGATCTGGATTAGTGTCGATGGGGAGGAAGACGAAGATCAGGAGGAGGAGGAAGAGGGCAAAGGGGAGGAGGAGGATGAAGAGGGCGACGGGGAGGATGAGGAGGAGGAGGAAGAGGGCGATGGGGAGGAGGAGGAGGAGGACGACGACGAAAAAGATCGCGATGGGAGGAGGAGGAGGAGGAGGAGGAGGAGGAGAAGGGAGAGAAATATCGGGTATGGGAGGACGAGCAGGAGGAAGAAGATGGCGATGGGGAAGGAGGAAAGGAGGAGGAGGAGGAAGATGAAGACGGCGATGGGGAGGAGGAGGAGGAGGAGGAGGACGAGGAAAAAGATCGCGATGGGAGGAGGAAGAGGAGGAGGAGGAGGAGGAGGAGGAGGAGGAGGAGAAGAAGGGAGAGAAAGATCGGGTATGGTAGGAGGAGGAGGAGAAGGGAGAGAAAGATCGGGTATGGGAGGAGGAGGAAGAGGAAGAAGATGGCGATGGGGAAGGAGGAGAGGAGGAAGGAGGAGGAGGAGGAGGAGGCAGAAGACGGCGATGGGGAGGAGGACGACAAGGAGGACGAGGAGGAGGTGGATGGCGATGGGGAGGAGGAGGAGGAGGAAAATGCCGATGGGGGGAGAGGGGGGAGATTAAGACAACCCTCCCCAGCGTCGTCATCTTCCTCCTCCTCTCCCCATCGCCATCCTCCTCCTGCTCCCCATCGCCATCCTCCTCCTCTTCCTCCTCCTCCCCATCGCAGTCTTCTTCCTCCTCTTCCGTCGCCACACCAGTGTTTTTTTTGTTTTTTTTTTAATGGCCTTGGAATGAACGGTTATGTATTTTGTCAGCTACGGGTGGAGGAGGAGGAGGAGGATGTCGATGGGGAGGAGGAGGAGGGGGAGGAGAAGGGGGAGAGAGATCGACTATGAAAGGAGGAGGATTAGGAGGAAGAAGACGGCGATGGGAAGGAGGAGGAGGGGGAGGAGAAGGGGGAGAGAGATCGGCTATGGAAGGAGGAGGATTAGGAGGAAGAAGATGGTGATGGGGAAGGAGGAGAGGAGGGGGAGGAGGAAGAAGATGACGATGCGGAAGGAGGACAGGAGGAAGAAGGAGGAGGAGGAGGAGGAGGAGGAGGAGGAGCAGGAGCCTGAGGAGGAGGAGGAGGATGGCGATGGGGGGGGGAGGGGGAGGAGGAGGAGGCGGAGGCAGAAGACGGCGATGGGTAAGACGATCTTCCCCAGCGTCGTTGTCTTCCTCCTCTTCTCCCCATCGCCATCCTCCTCCTACAACCCATCGCCATCCACCACCTCCTCCTCCCCATCGTTGTCATCTTCCTCCTCTTCCATCGCCACACCAGTTGTTGTTGTTGTTGTTGTTGTTGTTGTTGTTGTTGTTGTTTTAATGAGGGACTGACACGTGGTGATTGGTTGTGCGACTGCGTGTCCGTGTGTGGGAGGCAGGCCACATCAGCAAGTGTGACATCAACTCTCAGCGCAAGTCCCGTGTAATAGTCCGGCAACCGCCACATCTGCAACATGACAAGTGCAACTTCAGTTGCAGGTGGTCGTCCCGGGGCAAATGCTGAGAGGAAGCCGTTTAGGGAGGATCCAACATTTCGGGGTAACTTTTGTGTGTGGTCGTGGGTGTCTGCTGGGCAGAAGCTGAAGGAGACCACTCGGGGTGGTCGTCGCCTTAAATGCAAGTTGTGCGGCCGTGAGTTCAATGGGAAACAACCGCGTGCAGTTGAGCACTTCATTTGGAAGAGGCCGACTTCACGTTGCCCTCATGGGACACTGCTATCTGGAGGAGGCTGCATGCTGTCGGGGTGGCATTGCCTACAGACTTGCTGGAATTGGTGCGGGCAGCGGAGGAGGAGGAGAACAGCACCGGTGATGGTGGTTTGGAGGAAGGAGATGCGGGGGCAGACGTTGGGGACGAAGGAGAGAGACAAGTGGGGAGGGGTGGAGAGCCGGGTCCGCAGTCTTGCAGTGGGGTGGAGGATGTTGGGGGGAGGGCCGTCGATTTGCGAGGTGCATTTCGGGGGGAAGCAGGCCCTTCTCGTGCTAATGCACTGCAAACACAAGTGTGTAATCGCGGGCAGATGAAGCAGGCTTCCATCGCGAGGTGGGTCAAAAACCCACGACAGAAGGACATCGATGAGAGTTGCATCGAGTTCTTTGTGGAGAACGCAATCCCCTTCAATGTGGCGAATAGCAAGTCCTTTAAGAAGTTCGTGAACACATGTTATGAACCACAACCTGCTGCCAAACATCCCCTGGTCCCCACTGACTACAACCCTCTGCGGTGTTATCTTCTCGATGGCTTGAGGCAAAGGTTGAACGAGGAGGAGAAGGCCATCAGGGATGATTGGGAGGTCACTCGCTGCACGTTCATCACGGACGGTACCACTGACATGTGTGGGCGGTCACTGGTGAATTACATCCTCGCAGGGCGTTCGAAGCCACAACAGAAAAATTGTCGCCGAAATTCAACAAAATTTATTTTTGATGTCTAACTTATTCATGCCAAAAGGGGTGTGACCAACTGTTGAAATTGGGTCTTCTGCTGTGTTCAACTACTCATCAACATTATCAACTTATTCCCAACGAGTCCAACGTGGTTTCCAACAGGTCTCAAACTTTTTTCTCAACGACTTCAACATGGTTTCGTACAGGCCTCCAACATGAACCAACACGTATCCAACATGGTTCTTCACCCACATTTCGGTACATGATAGGTGAGAGAGTGCGTATGTGTGTGTGTGACGGTCGTGCACTGCGGTCCGGTCCTGTAAAATTGCGTGTTTTTGTAGAGTTATT